ACAGCCTGGCTAACACGAGGGCCCTGATGCTCCTGCAACAAATGAGGAGAATCTCCCCCTTCTCCTGCCTGAAGGACAGAAATGACTTTGGATTCCCCCTGGAGGCGTTTGGTGGCAACCAGTTCCAGAAGGCTCAAGCCATCGCTGTCGTCCATGAGATGATCCAGCAGACCTTCCAGCTCTTCAGCACAGAGGGCTCGGCTGCCGCTTGGGATGAGACCCTCCTGGACAAGTTCTGCACTGCACTTTATCAGCAGCTCACTGACCTGCAAGCCTGTCTGATGCAGGAGGCGGGGCTGGAAGGGACTCCCCTGCTGAAGGAGGACTCCATCCTGGCTGTGAGGAAATACTTCCACAGAGTCACTGTCTATCTGCAAGAGAAGAAATACAGCCCTTGTGCCTGGGAGACTGTCAGAGCAGAAGTCATGAGATCCTTCTCTTCATCAACAAACTTGCAAGAAAGACTCAGAAGGAAGGAATGACACACACCTGGTTCAACCTGAGAAAGGATTCTCACTAACGAGACCACACTTCCACCTGTGCTGCCATGTCAAAGACTCTCAGTTCTGCTCTCCTCATGCCCTGAATTGAATTAATTTGTCAAGTGTTTTCAGGAATATTAAGCAACATGATGTTCTACTCTACAGGTACTAGTCCCTCACAGATGCCCATGCTGATCTATCTGTTTATCTATTTAAATATTTATTTATTTAACTATTTATAAAGATTACAATTATTTTTGTTCATATAATATTATGTGCACATTTACACTGTAGTTTCAGAGAAAAAATACATTCTTTGTATTTAGTCAATTTATTATTTTCTTTGTTCATTAAATTCTTTCTATAGAAAACTTCTGGTATTAGTTTCGTCTTTAAAAAAGAAAACCAAGGCTGAATGTGCAATCTGATTAAACAATTGATGGTACAATTCATTTACCCATCAGTATTATATTCAAGTTAGAAGTAAAATAGACTTCCCCTAAGCCAGGTTGTATCCCTCCAGATACAGAGGTAAACACAACAAATACAGCTCCTGCTCTCTTGTATCTTTGATTTTTGTAGGGAAAATAACCTAAAGACAGTATAAATAATATTTATTATGTTTAAAATTAATACTAATTAATGTTAGAAATTAATATCAGTTAGATTTACTGCTATAATGAGAAGGTAAAAAATTGACTTCTCTCTGCAGAAGGTACATCAGTCCATGTGAGGATATAAACACAAAAGTTGTAGATATTCTCTGTAGTTGGCTGGTAGACATCTAACTACAAATGTCTGTTGGATATTTGAGTTTGCAATTTACAAGCAATTCCATTAATTGGAAGGCATAGGAACAGAAGTGGTCAAATGAGAAGAGAGTATAGAATGAGAAAAGGACTTAAAATGAGTCCTATGGGGCTTCCCTGGTGGTGCAGTAGTTAAGAATCTGTCTGCCAATGCAGGGAACACGGGTTCAAGCCCTGGTCCGGGAAGATCCCACATGCTGTGGAGCAACTAAGCCCATGCGCCACAACTACTGAAGCCTACATGCCTAGAGTCCGTGCTCTGCAATGAGAAGCCACCACAGTGAGAAGCCCGCGCACCCCAACAAAGAGTAGCCCCCGCTCGCTGCAACTAGAGAAAAGCCTGAGCGCAGCAACAAAGACCCAATGCAGCCTAAATAAATAAATTTTTAAAAAGAAATAAAATGAGTCTTATGACTTCCAACCTTAAAAGGGAGGGGACACCACAAAGGAAGCAGAGGTGGAGTGGCCATATGATAACAGAGGAGAGAGGACGGTGATAAGACCATGTTTACAAACTGAAACTGCTTAGAAGACTCAATGCGTTTGTAAAAAATACGGATGGAAGTTGTCCCTTACATTGGAAAATAGGTGGCATTGGCGACCTTAGTGAGAGCCTGTTTGGTAGAATTAATCAGCAGAAACCATCATGGAGAAGGTGGAAGGATGAATAAGAGAAGGCAATGACAGTTTGAGAGGTTTTCCTTAGGAAGTGGAGGAGAGAAATAGGGTGGGACCTAGAATGGAAGTGGCTTATTTTTTCTTGGCGTGGTTTTCCCTTTTTTGAAATATTTTTGTCTCTGAAGAGACTCCATGGATTTGATGTATTGACAACTCACATCAACATGTTTAATATTTGATATACTATAAATCATGACATATTTAATTACTTACAATGATTTACCATCAGTTTGATTAATAGGATGTTGAATGTCACTAAGCTGCTCTGTAGATTGAAATCATCCACTACATGGGAAACAGATGGCACTGACCTTAGTGAGAGCTGATTTGGTGGAATTAATCAGCAGAAACCATACTGGAGTAGGTGGAAGAGTGACAAGAGAAGAGAAGAGAAGAACTCCCATTGTCATTGTTTCACCTGGGGAGTCACTTTACTTCTTTCACTCTCATCATAGTCAGAGTTGCATTTGTTTTCCTTTTGCCTCAGTGCATCCAATGCAATGACAGCTTTCTATGAAAGGTGAATGGAGAAAGAAAATCAAAAAGATGTAACAAAAATTATGGAAAATAATGGTATGGCCCCTTTATGTTTCTATTTTTACTTCTCTATTTTGGTTTCTGTTTCAAGATGAAACATAAAATAATTCAGAAGCAGCAAGACAACCATTGCCCCGAATAATACTAAATGAGAAAGAATTTATACAATTATAAAGACTCAAATCAGGAAAGCAAAGAAGTCTAATTTTACCTAGCATCATATGCCCTACATCTTCACTGCTTGGCATCTTCACTGTGAGATGGAGAGTAATGAACCAAGAGGCTCAGTAGAAATGTACTAAATAATCTAATGATGCCTATTAATTGCTTTAATATAAGGTTCTTTTGGGAGGTCAGCAGAAGCTTCTGAAGAGAGGTCTGATGGAAAATCTGAGAATATTATTTGTTACTATTTATACCTTTTGTAATTATTATGTACTCTGTGCTAATGATGATACAATAGTGAACAAGACGTAGACCTTTCTCCCATGGTGGTTACTTATTGAGTAGGTCTAAGAAATGATCTTCAAGAAGACCAATCCAGAAGGATAAGGCAGTGTGGCTGATGTATAAAACAAAGAGGGCAAAAACAGAGACCAGGTCATAATTAAAATGCCATTCTTAGAAAGAACATTATTTACATTAAGTTTGACTTTAACAAAAAGACTTTCCTCATTTGAAAGATCTGAATCCACTTTTTGAAACATCTGAAATTTGGTGGTCACAGCCCAGGGGCACAGGCTCACTAAAAGACTGAGACCTAATCATAGGATTATAGAACACTTCCCCTCCCCATACCTACCATCACATCAACAGGATTCCTGTATAACAGGGGATTACAACAGAAAAGAACTGCACGTGTATGATTTTATATAAGAAGTCTCTAGGGAAACCACATGACAACAGGAGAGAAAAAAATCATCAACAAAAGAGGAAGTTTTAGCTTCTGACTTCTACAGCTATGGCAAACAGTAAACACATCCCAGCTCCTAGCAAGATAAATGTAAAACCTCATCCTAAAGGCCAGATTACATCAGTTGCTTTTACCTAGTACATCACGTCCAACTTTCAATAGAAATTTACAAGTCTTACTAAAAGGTGAATAACACAGTTTGAAGAGAAGGAGCAAGCATCAGACCTAGACTCAGATATAGTAGATTTTGGAATTATCAGGACAGGAATTTAAAGTGACAGTGATTAATATGCTAAGGTGTCTAATGTATTCATGTAGTAGTTATCTACTTTATCTCAGTCATACTATGTATGGTGTTTAAAATAGTTTTGTTCATATGATATCATGTTCACATTTATAATATACTCAAATGTAACAAAGTATATTCAACTTCATCTTTTCTCAAATTACTTTCTTCTTTAGTTGATGAAATTCTTCCCCAGAAGACATCTTGGATTTGTTTATTCTTAAAAAAGGAATAGCTTAAATATGCAACCAATATTGAAAACCTATGATGAATTCACCTAGCTCATTCATTTTTTCCAGTCAGTTATGTTTTAAAACTTCATATTTCTATGTCAGATTATGTGATCGTTCTGAGAATACAAAGTTGAATACAAAAGTTGAAAAAGGGCTTCCCTGGTGGCACAGTGGTTGAGAATCCACCTGCCGATGCAGGGGACACAGGTTTGTGCCCCGGTCCGGGAAGATCCCACATGCCGCGGAGCGGCTGGGCCCGTGAGCCATGGCCGCTGAGCCT